GCCGTCGGCCTGTTAAATCAATTGCATAACAAAACGATCTCAAATCGCAGATCACAGGCAAGGTTACTTTTTTTGTGAAAGGGGGGGGGGGAAATCCCACTAAAATGTCAGTTCTAAAAATGCATGAGGGAGCTACTGCTGCATGGCACCGCTCACAACCTTTCAAACCAAATTCATCATCTGCACGCAAACGTGCATTCATGTCGTCCACAAGTGCACAAACCATTCTGCAGCTTGCCCCACTGTGGATTTATTACCGTGAAAGCAGCGCATGTTGCTATAGGAACAGAGTGCAGTTCACTTAAATATATTAAAGTCAGAATCGGCTGATTTTTTTTTTTTTTTTTTTTTCCTCGCTCCCCACCTGCACAAAGATTCAGGCTTGTTTGGCTGACTGACAAGTTGTTGTGTGTGCATGTTTGTGGCATCTGAATCGTGACCTGCGCTCTAATAGCTGTCCACTCGCAGAGAAATGCCCGCTCTCCCGGCTATTATTTTATGATTTCGAGCTGACATCAATTGGAATTTTAGAGCAGCGCCAATTACAGAGCGGTGGCCTCACATCACCTGCTTTGTCACCTTTCACTGCAAAAATAGGAGCCGCGTTGACCTCGATGTCCATGAATGACTCGGTTCATTGTTAATTTGGGCTCATTTTGTACCCCTTTTTTTTTTTTTTTTTTTCTTTGTCAGTGTGGTCTGAGTAACTACCTGAGACATTGTGTTCTTACCTAATTGGCCGATGCCTCGTTGCATTCTGTGCAGCATCAGAGGCCGGAGCCAGTCGTAAAAAAGAATGAATAGGACCCCAGTGCTTGGAAGATTCCTTGCATTTGGAAAAAAAAAAGTGTGCTCATCCTGCAGCAACGTGCGTTGGCTCTTCAAGACGGGTTCTCCTTTGGTTTTATGCTGTTTTCAAGAGTTCTACCCTTCAAGTGAACTCTTTTGAATATTTCCCCAAATAGTGGTCTCGAGCCTAATGGGGTGCATTGTCAACTTTAGACGAATAAGTGGCTCTTATCAAATTGGCACCTGGTTTCCCCCTTGGGGAAAATAGCACTTGAAGGAGGCGTTCTGTGCATTCTCCTCGAGGGATAAAGTCTTACGACACACTGAGAGGCTTGATAGCCGTGTGCGTGCAAAAAGAGGAGCAAACTTGTCTGCTCACGCAAACCCATGCGAAAGCTGAGCTACGAAGTCGGCGCACCCAGGGTTGCCTTCAAATTTGCAGCACAGTTCGAGAGCGGCCTCCCAGCAAATAGCATGGATGCTTTTCCCGCTGGTTGCGCTATTGCTCATAGCGCTCTGAAATCACTCTGCCGACTTCAATCCCTTTGGCTGCGCCATTTGACGTCACAGTGACGCTGCTTTTGATTTCAACGTTTTTCACCGTGAGGCGCGCGACGCCGTGACGCTTGCGACATGACGACGACCCTCGCCACTTGTATACAAGTCGATTGCACACTGTTAGCAATCGGTTAGAGTGAACATGCAGCTCACTGTCTGCTACCGCTACAAGTCCTGACTATGTCTTATGTTACCACGACAACCGGTGGTGATACTCGCGCATGCGACCGACGCAAGCGTCGTCATCATTTACAGACTTGGTGACTCCGGAGCTCTAATGAGGAGTAACTCTTGTGACATCGTTTTGTGGGTTGTTATTGGAGACCTCTGGAGTGTCTGACACTCCCTCCCAATCAGGAGCTGTTCAGACTGAAAATGGGTGGCGTGTGCGCTCTCAGCCAACTGGCTGATATTTGATCATATGGCCCCTTTAAGTTAGGCAGTGATGATGATGATTTTTCTCGTGATGAGCTTTCCAGACGCCTCTGTGCTCCCGATGTAGCGGGATTTGCGCCTTCAGATTAGTTCCGCCCTGATTTGTGTTCCCGTAAGAGTTCTCAAAGCGCTCCGTTAAAACAGGTTGATGAAAGCAATGTGTGTGAGTTGTTGGAGACTTTGCGAGTGAGAAGGCCGGGCCCCGCGGACTCTTGGCCTGGCCGGGACAATCGGCAGTCCACCCGTGTGTAAGCGATACGGCCGCTGTGTGCGCTGGTGTGGCTAATCGAGCAAATGGTGGGTGAGATGAGAGGGCTGGCTGATGGGGGGGAAACGGGGTCATTCAGTGCCATAACCTCCTGTGCGTCATCCATATTTTAATGCTCACCTTCTGTGTTTCTTGAGGAGACGGGCATTGATTTGACAGTGGCATTTTTTTGGTGGTTTTTTTATGGGCTTGTTTTTCCGCGTGATCACTGGATTTACACAGTTCATTGTGGATGTGTTTAAATTGCAGGGTACACAATTGCAAATTTAGAGTGTTCCGTTCACCTGCCATGCATGTTTTTGGAATGTGGGAGGAAACCGGAGTACTCATGAAAATGATTTTTCTTTTAAGTCCCAAAATTGTTTGAATACAAATCTGTTTTCCATGAAAAAAAAAAAAGGGGAAAATGGGAACAAATCCCAGAAAAAAAAACAGAAAAAAAAATCCAAGATCTAAAATTGAAAATGGTTAAAAGGAATAAAAAGATGCAAAATCTGCGAATATGCGAGTCTGTTGAGGCCGACCTGCGAATATGCAGGGTTCAACTGTAGTTTGAAGTTGTAATACCACCATTCACCACTAGTTGCCCGAGTTGAGTTTCCACTTGTCGTGCGCGTCTGCTGTGAGTGTTGGTGTATGTCATCTATCTCATGTGTCCATCAACTGTGCCTGAATGTGAATGCATGTCGGGCTCTTTTAATTGTTGCCATGGAAACAGAGTGTGCTGCCAGAGAAGTCCAGTAGCTCTCGCGCCCTCTCACTGTGCGAGTCTCTCTTTCCGATGCCTCCTTCGTGTGTCTGTCTTAAATGACTTTCTCTCTTTTGTTCCTCTCCTCTTTGCTTTCATCTTTCTTGTGTCTCACCAAGGTCCTCCTTTTGGTTTACGCTCCACGTCTTTCCTCCCACTGCGTCGTCCTCCCTTTCTGTCTCTTTCTGTCCTCATGCCTCTTCTCATCCCTCCGTAATTCCTTCCCTCCCACCTCTCCGTCTTTCCCGGGGAGGTGTGTGCAGTTGACTATTAACACAGGGACCTGTAATTAGAGCTGACGAACCCCCGGCAATTAGTTTTCCCTCAAGAAGTTGTTCTGTCATCGCCGCATACGGCCCCTTTGTCTTCCTCACATTCTCTGTCCTGTTTTTCTCATCCTGTCTGTCACTTCTTGTGTTATTAGCTGTCAGCCTTTTTTGCCTGATTATTGTTTTTTTTTTTTTTTTTCGCTTCTTTGTTCCTACAATCTGCCTCCCGAATGCGGTAGACGCACACAATGCAGCACATTTCGAAGTGGTTACGCCACTACTGTCCTGGGTCTCTCAGCCCACAAAGCTACAGTGAACACGTTCCCTCCTACTGCACACCTCCTCCGATGACAGATGTGCTGTTAGGACACATGCCGAAAAAGTGACGAGACTCGCACCTCCATGAGTTGAATTCATTCATTCATTCCTAAATCCTCATTCGTCATTTGAACAAAATTTTTAGCCAGTCACTTTCTTTGGCGCTTGTCCTTACTTTGTGGGTGAACTGGATGGAGCCTGTGCCAGATGGATTTTGGATGAGAGGCGGGCTACGCCCCGGACTGGTCATCAACCAATCACAGCGCATATGTTGACAAACAAACATTCATACTCATATACACACCTATGGACAATTCCATCGTCAATTTTTGAAATCATGTTGCATTGCGCAATAACAATTCTAACTCTCATTCTAAGAATTGAGATATCAATTCATTTGAAGTCTTTGAAGCTGCGCTCTTACCATGGTCATCCATCCAGCCATGCTTCTGTTGTCTTGATGAGCTGGGGTCAATCGCAGCTGTCTTGGACCGGTTGTCAGTCAATCGCAGGGTGCAGACAGATGAGAAATTTGGAAGGTGGCCTCCCGAGTGCATTAATCTTTATGGAAATGGTGTCCAGACAAAATCAAAGTGGAGAGAGATGCCCTACTGGAATTGAATGTGAAGTACAGTGCTAAAAAAAAGAACCCCCCCCCAAAAAAAAAATGTTATTTTCACATGCAGTGGTGGAGCTACGTGGTGGCCAAGGGTGGCCTCTGTATACCCGAGCAGCATGAGTTGCGAAATAAGAGCCGTCGGAGCTCCGCTTAATAATTTTTCACCTGTGAAATCATCGAGCGGGCTGCTAAATAGAGCATCGATTCCACAAAAGAGCATTTAAAGGAACAAAAAAAGTCTTGTAAATCTGACACAACATAGAGAGGCGCATTGTTAGCAAGCAATGAGGGCAGCAAATAACTGTTTGAGAAACTAGGCCAAAAGGGTGATGGCAGTTTAAAGGTGGAGGGTGGGGGGGGGTCAGCTGTCAATCATCTCACATCAATTTTAGCATCAGTCACTTTATCGAGAGCTCACTTTGTTACTGATCTTGTTTCCAACAGTTTTTCATTCATTTGGGATCCTGGAAAAAAAACAAAAAACATTTCTTCTGCTTGTTCTATTCTGTGACAAAACGCCTATTTCCTCCTTTCCCTTCCCATGTCGAGAAAGCTGCTATTTTATTCACTGGGAGAATTTATGTCCTCATAAGACATCCCATAATGTCCCTTCAGAGAATTCCATAAATTATTGATTCTCAAACTGGATCTATGTAAACTATATGGCATCATATCATGTACGAGTGTGTTTTATGCACTATTCATGTCCACCAAGTGCTTCTCCTCTCCCTCTTGGGTTTTTTTTTTTTTTTTCCTTTTTGCATGATTTTCTTCTTTTCCTTGACTCTGCCCCATCGTGCTTTCGTACAGACATTGACATGCACTAATTCACATAAGCCACGTAGCCTCTCGGCAATCCACTTTGCTCAATCAATGTTGCACGCTTCTGTGTTCACTTCCATCTCATTTTCCAACCGCTTTATTTGCTCTCGTGGTTCACTGTATTCCACGTTTGTTCAATGCTTTTTACCTCCCTCCCCTCTCTTCTATCTCCAGGTATTTCTTTCCCGCTTCTCCACCATGCCTGTCGGCGGCTGCCCCTCCCCCCTTCGCATCTGCACCTACGCCCCCTCGGTCGTCCAGGACCAAGGGAGGCGAGTGCGCCACCTCCATCCGCCCCTGCCCCCGTCGCCGCACTGCCACACCGTCTCACTTGGCGTCCTCCTCTTACTGCTCTGCCTTCTTCACCTGCCGCCCGCCTGCCAGTCGCGGAGAGAGAAGGGAGGCGGAGGAGGCGGCGGCCACTACATCCCCATCCCCCCTCCCCCTCCGCACCACATGGCCCTTCCCAACATCCTGCGCGGCCTCAGCATCGCCGTCGTCCTGGTGGGCAACTCCAGTGAGATGGCGCTGGCCGGGGCTCGCGAGAAGGAGGACTTCCTGCACATGGCGCCCAACGTGGAGATCCTGACCATGAACGAGACGGACCCCAAAAGCATCATTAAAAGCATCTGCGACTTAATGACGGAGCACTGGCTGCAGGGCGTGGTGTTTGGAGATGACACCGACCAGGAGGCCATCGCGCAGATCCTGGACTTCATTTCGGCCCAGACCCACATCCCCATCCTCGGAGTCCGCGGAGGTTCGTCCATGATCATGGCTGCTAAGGTAGGACGCGATCATCTCGACTCAAATAGCACACTTGATGAGAAAAGTAGGATGAGCTTTTCTGAGCAAACAGGTTTCGATAAAACACCTTAACGGCAAGATGAATGAACTGTATCAGTGGGAAAAGTCGTCCTTTCATCGCCAAGAACATTTGCGAGTCAAAGGTCACGGGTCGTGGCTCGCCGCCATCTTTGTTTTTGTTCATTTCTGTGTTTGTTGTGGTTGAGGCCGGACCTCTCAGGTTTTTGATGCATTACAACCTGAGATGTGAAAACGGTTCGCCCCGATCCGTCTTTCGCCAACACCTTGCGTGGAGTCAGCCAGTCAGTTAGTCAGTCAATCTCGATAGGCAGAAAGACGCACGGGCTAAGCCCGCTGTTTGACTCGAAAGTCAAACAGCCGTGAGGGATTGATGCCAATGATGGGATCAGCACCAGAACAGTGAATTGAGCTTTGCCAGGTTATTAGGCCCCCTCCTAATGGGATAAAAGGACGCTTTATCTGAGTCCACCTGGATCCGGACCTTGAGCCCATTCGTCAAAATCTTCATCCGTTTCATACTTGCGCCAATCCATCAGTTTGAAATCATAACCGGTGGAATATGCCGAGTGGCGTTGCTCTTTATGCCGACAGTCTGCCGGTCGGTCTGTGATTTTGTTGCCTTGGGGAGCCTTGTTGCGTTTCCACCCGCCGTGCCACTTTCTTGCCGTTTCGGTGCCATCGGGGCCCGGGTCGTCAGATGCACCCCGCGTACGTGAGCTTCGGTGAACAAGTCCGGGTCAGCGGCTGCCGCCGAAGCTCCTGTTTCTGCCCGTTTTCATTCGAGAATTATAGAGAGGGATGGAATATAACAGCCCTCGTCCATTTACAGCCCTCGTGGTTCACGAAGCGGTTCTCGGACCATCTTGCAATTTGAGGTCTGACTTCCTCAGCACTCTTTTGAATGTTGATAAATAATGACTGTTGATTACTTCCTAGAAGCAACGTCTAAAGTCCTGAATCTGATCAATGTTGTTTTTTTTTTTTTTTTTTTTTTTTTAGGCTGATGAATCACAGAACTTCTTTTTTGGTCCTTTAAGACTTCAAAAAATTACATGCAGAGCGTTTGACTATTTATCAATACTTTATCCTTCAATATTTGATTACGTTTGCTATCAGCCCAAAAAAATCGTCCGCTTCTAATTATGTTTGTCTCTTGTATTTGTCTTGTGTTGTAACGCGTTCACGTTTTTTCAGTCTTTAATCCAATCTGCATTTTGTCCCGCGAGTGGCATGCGTGCATGGGCGTTGACAATCAGCACATCTAAAGCTTCTGACTAATGCTCACATTAGCAAAACATGCTCAGCCATTTTCCGTCGCTTGTCTGGAAGGTATCGATGGCTTCGTAATGGTGCAAGTCGCTTGTCGTCGTCGCTGATCATGACGTGGACAGACAGCTCGTCTCCGAGAGGCTGCTGCCGGAGGCTGCTGAGAGCATCCGCTCCTCCTTATGCTTTAAAGGCGGGATCATCGGCAATTAAGAAAAAAAAAAAAAAAGATAACACATTCAACCGCGATGACCTGGAGGAAACTGTAATGTGACACGAATCACAAATTGCATGCGTGTAAATCGGTGCCAGCAGACAAGATCAGCGCCGGCACGCAGCCACGCGTCCATATAGGCGTTCACAGAATAGAAAAACGCGTTTGGCGGTTGCCCGCATGCCTTCTGTCGCAGGACATCGGAAGATTGAGGAGGAACAGATGTTTAAAAAAAAAAACAAACATTTTCTATCATAGGAATTTCTCTTTTTCTATTTTCTCTGTATTAGTTTTTGTGCTTTTGGAGGGACTTTCACCACATTGCCTTGTTTTTATCCCTGCGGGGCCGAACTTGAAACGTTTCCTCGTGCTTATTTCCCCCAATTGATGCCCTACAATAGGAACCATTGTTGTGCTAATCGTTGCGGTACCGAACTCATTTATTATAATGCGTCTCCCGCTCGGCACCGCCTCGTACTTGCGGAAACGGACACAATTAGTCCCGTTTGGAGGTGATAAGAGTTCCTTTGGCCCTTTTTTTTTTTTAGCTTTTCATGTTCCTCTCTCCGCTAAGCGCTAGTTCTGTCCATTTGTGAGCTCTGTCTTGATCCTGGCTGCAACGTGTCCCCGATTTGGGATTTTCTTGAGTCCAGTTTTCTCCAAAGTTGCACTTTTGTTGCTTTTTGTCCAGGTATGACGCCGACGTACACTAACCGGCCGTGTGTGTGTGTCAGTCTACTATCCTGATGATTTTCTAATCCGTATTTTAAGATGAAGGCATGACTTATTATTGTGGTTAGAATTATTTTTTTGATCCTCTGGCTGCAAGGCTCGTATTGCCCTGGTTTAGAAAATGTTGACAGCCCACTCTGTTTTCCTCTTTTCCTGGAAACAGAGTTTCCAAAATGAATTTCGCGTCCTAAATAGATGTGGCCTATTTTCTAACCCCGTTGGTCTCAATTTACTCTGGTCATTTAGAACGTGTCCATTTTGAACACCCCCCACCTCCCTCTCCCAAGAACTTTTTTTTTTTTTGAACCACCTCTTCTCTCACTCAGAGCGGGTCTTTTATTTCTCTTATCGCTTGAAATCAGAACGAGACAGCGCTCCCGTGCACTTGAACGATGGCGGCTTTTGGAACGGACGTGCTCTTTTGGAGATGAGAAAAAGACAACAGACCAAATTGGAAAACGCGGGATAAAATTATACTGTCACTATATTCGGTCACACACCCGAACATTTCCGACCCTGATACTCTCACGAGCCGACATAAAAATGCTATTTATAATCTGCATCGTAGTTTCATATACCAAAGCTTAGTCTAAAGTAATAATTCATTCATAGGCACGTCACATTTTTATTTCTTGTCCGTTGTAAACGAAATCACTCCAAATGGCCAAGCGGACAGCCTTAATGTGGAATATTTACACAATGCAAAATTGTCATTCGTTGAACTCGTCATTGAAGGGTAACAATAAGAAATTCTTCAAGCAGCTGTGCAAAGTTATGTAACTCTTGTGGTTGATTTCGTGTACTGTGGTCGAGTCTGAATGGGAGCGTAGCCTTTCAATTCTGGATTGGCCAGAGGAATAAATTGAATGCATGTAAAGGAAAGTTGATTTTTTTTTTTTTTTTTTTTTGCATACAAATACATCGAGCTGCTGTTGGCTTGGTCAATGCGAAGCTCCATCTCCTGTACCAGAAGCCGTAGCCCGCAATTGCACACGAACCAGAAATGAGAGCCATCTTGGCTTTTTCCCTCTTCTTCAGATTTTCGCCCCCCCCCCACCCCCCTTCCCACGGCCATTTTCTGGTGTTCTCTGGCTTCCTGGTAAGTTCTGGTTCATGTCGGGGCAGCTGACAGCAGGCAGACAGTAGCGATTTGCAGCACACGTGCAAGTGTTAATTCACTCTTCACCACCCACCCTACCCACACACTCTCTCTCTCAGCCAACCGCTGTGTATTGCTCCGCCATGTTCACATGCCAGTAGAAGACAATAGAGTGGAATACATTTTGACAGGAGTGTGTTCTTCACACAAAGAAGGGCTGAGTAAATGTTACCCATCATCCATTCCCCCACCCTCACCCCCCTCAGTCACAGTCTCACTCTCACTCTCACTCTCACAAGGGCCTGGCACACTTTTTTCCATTCCACCCGCTGCTCCCCCTCAACATAGCACTCCATCCCATCCCGCCACTCGTGTCTCTGCGCTCCCTGTGGACATGCACTTACACCGCACTTTGCACACACACACACACACACACACACACACACACACACACACACACACACACACACACACACACACACACACACACACACCCCTCTTTTTCCCCACATGAAAAGGTTTCCTTTTATTCCCCCGTTCACCTCTTGTCCCCTGAATATATCAGTTGCACCCACCTGCACCTCTTGCAGAGCTCCTCTCCACCCATCAAACTAACAGCAGCAATATTTACAAGCAGAAGATCTCAATTCCCCCCTTGAAGACCAATCACCAACCTTTGCCAGGCCCCTCATTTCCCTTGCTGATGTCCAGAGGAGGTGACAGGCCACAGTCTCCTGTAGTCGCTACCCAAGATATATTTAGACACATTTTTTTGAAAATGATGATGAAGAACCAATGTGGACTTGCTCCAATTGAATAAAATGATCTTTTTTTTTTTTTTAGCAATCAACCACGCGTGGATTGAAACCACTAAAACAACTATTCTGCATGACCACCAGTTGGCTTGGATTTAAATTTTTTTATCCTGTATGATATCTTTCCAGTTTAAAAATAATCACTGTGAACATTAAGACAAACACAAATCACACAGCACAGCACACCGCCTCAAATTTGACAACTTTTGAAATGCACGCTCACACGTCACACAATGCTTTGAATGTGAGCCTCCGAGACTCTGTGAGCTCTTGTCAAGTTCTTTTTCTCTCCACGGATGATAATTCTTCTTTTGAAATCATCTTATGTCACAAAGGGCCACAAAATGGCACAGAAAAAAACAAACAAACCAACAAGCTGAGCACATACTGAGGTCTCACCTGACCGTAGTTCGATATCGAATTGGTGCCACTTTCAAGGCATTTTTTTGCTGTAAAATTGTCATAACAAATCGGAATCTTATTCCCCATGTTTTGACGCCAGTGGTTGCACTGCCTGTGTTTATGGTGATAGACTGGATGTAACAATATTTATCTCCCTGTTATCGGCATTTTAATCTACTCCTCCGTTTTATAGGACTCGGATAAAGGACGGCAACAGCAATGCGGGAGAGCTTCTGTGATTGATAAAAAACATTTGGATTCTTTTATGATTCTTCCTTTGTGACGTTTTTGTGTTATTTTGCGGCAAAATTGCAACACGTAGTAAAAGCCAGAATAATCCTGAGGACTGATGATGAAAAACACTCTCTCCTCTCACCGTTTTCAATTCTTTTTGACAAACTTCGCTGATTATGGCCGAGCGCAAAAGTAT